GGGGTCGCGTCCCGGCTCCGCCGCGGGAACACCGAGCGACCCCCGCCCCGCGCCTGCACTGGCCCCGCCCCGCCGCGGCCCGGACTCACCGGCGGGGAGTTTTCGACGACCAGTTCGTAGGTCAGCCCCGCAGACCCGAACCGCAGGACGTCTCCCGGCGTGAGCTTCACGGCCACATTCTGCACGTGGCACTCGTTGACAAACGTGCCGTGGCGGGAGTTGAAGTCCTGGAGCACGAAGCTGCCCTCCGCCTCGCTGAACTCGATGAGCGCGTGGTGGTTGTCGACGTCCGGAGACTGAAACGGGGAGGGACAGCCGTGGCCATGAAAACGAAGGCGGCACAGCCTCGGATGTTTACTCGTGCTCCTGGGGGCCGGAATGTGCCGAGTGCTTACCTGTGTCACGGCGCCAGATCGGCGCCACACTCCTCATTTTAAGAGTACGCTGAGGGTCGGAGAGGTTAAGCAACTTGCCCAGGACACACAGCTAGTGCAGGAAGGAGCCGAGGCGTGTGCTCTGTCTGACTCCAGACCTGGCGACAGGTACCCCAGTGGCTGGGGGAGGACTCAGGCAACACTAGGGAAAGGGAACTTGGGGCATCTTCCTGGGCAAATGTTTGGCTGGGGAATCAGCTATTTTCCATTTCCCAGCCCCCACACAGGTGCCTGAATGGTGGTCCTCGTGGCAGGACCGAAAGCGAGAGGGCCCAATACAGCCACAGAGGCCAATCTGTGAGCGGCGACTGTCATGTTCCCGCAAGGAAAAGCCACATTCATGGAACAGGGTATGACGAGTTAAGAGGGTGTCTTTATTCATTTGCTGTACTCACCTGGCTTTCGATTATTTTTAAAATAGCATGCTTTTCTTACTATTGCAGAAAATGAGAACAAGAGAAAACAGGAGACCTTATGCCCACATGTAACCCCATTCCCCAGGAACACTGTGGTTCACATTCTTCCAGGCTTTGTCTATGCTTACATTCTTCTAAAAAAAAAGTTTAAACACAATGAGTCACCCCATACATTCATGGTTTTATAACTACCTTTTATAAACCTTGGTATACAAGGAACGTCTTCCCGTGCGGCTAGTTATTTCTGTTGCTTCTTAAAAGTGACTCGGAATTTGTCTAACCAAAGATGGCCTACTTTTCAAAAGGGGTCTTGGTGGGACACTTTTCCCCGAAGGAGAGGTGCCCCGCCTGCGTGTCTGTGAGCTGGCAGTGGAGGACAGAAGCGCCAATGTCATTTCACTTTAATGGGAAGACTGAGCAGGGCGCAGCGCAGGGGAGGTAACACCACCACGCTCCCCTGGCCACAGGGCCCTGGAGGGATGATGGGCAATGTCCCAACTGTGAGCCGTGGGGCACACTGGTGTCCTATTCTTTTAGGGGTTCTGAATACAGACATCCTCTCCAGCCTGAGACTTTGCGATTATTTTCTAAGTTTATCTTCTCGGAGTGTCCCATCTCACCCTCCTACTAAAGTACTTGCACCTGGACATCTCAAGTCCCATAATATCATAAGAACCAATAGTCCACAGTAATAATCAAATACAGTGATATGTAACATAGAGCAATAACATATATTAATTAAGCATTACAGGCTGGGAAATTTGCTAAGTGCTTTACTGCACTGTCCCATTTCATCTTCACAAGAATCAGGAGATAGTTCCCCATTTTGTAGATGAGGAAACTGTGGAACAGAATGATTGGATTTATCCCATGTCACTCAGATTGACGAGCCTGGCTTGGAGCCAGGTTTGCCTGAGTCAGATGTCTATGCCTTACCTACTTTGTAGGTTTCTACCAAACACTTTGGCACCCAAAATATAAAAACACAAAAGAAACCAGAGTAGCTATATTAATTGCAGACAAGGGAGAGATTTCAGAACAAGAAACATTGTCAGGGATAAAGAGAAGCATTAAATAATGATAAAGAAGTCAACTCTCCAAGAATACATTACGATCCTCAATGCATATACACCTAATAAAAGAGTGCAGAAACACACAAAGCAAAACCCGATAGAACTGCAAGGAAAAATAGACAAGTGAACTATGATAGCTGAGACTCCAACACCCCTCTGTCAGAAACACATCTGGCAGGCAGAAAATTAGTAAAGATATAACTGAACTGTACAGCACCATCAATCAATGGGATTAATGTAAATTTATAGAATACGTAACCCAGCAACAAGATACACATTCTTCTCAAGTTCACATGGAACACTCACCAAGAAATACCACATTCTGGGCTATAAAACTCATCTCAGTGAGTTTAAAAGAACAGAAATCATGCAAAGTAAGCTCTCAGACCACAGCAGAATTAATCTAGAAACCAGTAACCAAAAGCTAGCTGGGAAATGGCAGAATATTTGGAGATTAAAAAAACAGACTTCTAAATAACACGTGGGTCAAGGAAGAAGTCTCAAGAGAAATGAAAAATTATCTTAACTAAATGAAAATACAACTCGACAAAATTTGTGGGATGCAGTTAAAGCACCACTTAAAGAGAAATTTATAGCCTTGAGTGCATACACAAGAAAAGAAAAAAGATAAACAATCAATAATCAAAGCTCCCCGCTTTGGAAACTAGAGAAAGAGGGGCAATATAAGCCCGACAACACAGAAGAACAGAAATAAAAATGAGAGCACAAATGAATGAAATCGAAAACAGGAAAACGGAGAGAATCAAAGACACCAAAACTTTTTTGGAAAGTTCAAGATAGTTGGCAAACCTGTAGGCTAACCAAGAAAAAAATGGAGAAAACACAAATTACTAAAATCAGACATGAAAGCGAGGCCATCCCTCCTAGGCCCATGTATAGTGAAGGATAATAAAGGAATATTGTGAACTACTTTCTGTCTATAAACTAGATAGAAAGTGAGCCCAGATGGACTCACTGGTGAATTCTAGCAAACACTTTAGGAAGAAATACCAGCGCCCTAAAATCTCTTCCAGGAAACAGAAAGACAGGGAATAATTCCTAACTCATTCTATGAGGTCAATATCATCCTAATACTCGAACCAGATAAAGACATCACAAGAAGGGAAAACTATAAGCCAATATTTCTCACACAGATGTAAAATCTTCAATAAGATATTAACAAACAGAATCCAACAATGTATAAAAAGAATCATACCCCACAACCAAGTGGGATTTATTCCAGGTATTCAATATTAGTTTGACCTTCAAAAATTGATTAATGTAATCCATCAACAGGCTAAAGAAGAAAAATAGAAAGGTATTCCATGTGCAGAAACACACAAGGGAAAATCTGATAGGACTGCAAGGAAAAACAGACAAGTGAATTATGATAGCAGTTTTTCATATGCTTACTTGCCACAGGGTCTCTCTCTGTCTCCCACATCAGAGTGAAGTGGTACAATCATAGCTCACTGCAGCCTCAAACTCCTGGGTTCAAGTGATCCTTCCACTTCAGCCTGCCAAGTAGCTGGGACTACAGATGTATGCCACCATGCCCAGCTGCCATCTGTATATCTTCTTTGGTGAGGTATCTGGTAATACTTTTTGCCCATTTTTAATTTGGGTTGTCTTTTTTCTTATTGTTGAGTTTTAAAACTTATTTATTTTGGATACATATTTATAGCATCTTTATTCATAATTGCCCAAAACTGGAAGCAACCAAGATGTCCTTCAAAAGGTGAACGAATAAACATACTGTGGTACATCCATACAATACAATATTAGTTAACGATAGAAAGAAACGAGCTATCAAGTCACAAAAAGACATGGAAGAAACTTAACTGCATATCGTTTAGTGAAAAGAGCTAATCTAAAAGTATTACACATGGCGTTGTTCAAACTATATGAAATTTTGAAAAATATAAAACTAATGAAAGATTTGTGGCTGCGGTGGGGGGGTGGTGGAGGGGAGATGGGAGGGTTGACGAGGCAGAGCACCGGACGGTATAGGGCAGTGACACTCTTCTGTATGACATGGTCACGGCGGACACGTGACATTATGACTATGTCAAAACCCATAGGACTTTATAATACAAAGAGCGAACCCTAATGTAAACTATGGGCTTTAGTTGATAATAATATATTAGTATTCATCAATTGTAACAAATGTACCGCAGTAACGTCAGATGTCAATAATAGGGGAATAGTGTGTGTGTGCGTGTGTGTTGTGTGTGTGTGTGTGTGTGTGTGTGTGTGTGTGTGTGTGTGTGTGTGGTGGGAGAAGGGGGTGGGATATGTGAGAACTCTCTGTATTAGCCACTCACTTTTTTGTGAACCCAAAGCTGTTTTTAAAAAGTCTGTTAAATAAACATGAAAACACACTAGCTCCTTGGGAAATGCTACCCACATCATCTTCACCATCTCCATTGCTACTGATCACATTTCTCTGTACTCTATGTTCCCTTGATAGCCCATCAGAGATAAAGTCTACATGTTGCATTTTCTTTTTCTCTTCCCAAGTCCTCTCACTTTCAGCTCCTCAAAAGCTGTCATACTGTGATTAAGAAATCAAAGCAAGCAAGAGGTTTTGGGTGAAGCCACAAAAGAGGACAGTCCTCTGCCCCACATTAGGCCAAGGGAGAGTTTCTGAGGACTGCCCAGTGCCACTCTTCCCATATTCAGACATTTGCAAAAAAACTCATATTGGTGAGAAGCTCAGTTGCTATCACAGGCTGAAGGTATAAGATACACCCTAATGTGGTGTCTCACTATGAGATACATTTTATTATTATTATTATTATTAGCTGCTAACATATTTTGAGAGTGTCCTGTGAACTGGGACCTGCCAAAGCACACTGTGTTCACTCCCTTATTTAATCTACACAATAGCCCTTTACAAGGAGTTCTACTATTATCCCATCTATCATGAAGAAGCTGAGACTCAAAAGGTGAAGTGAGAGGCTCATTACTCTGACACTAAAACCAGACAAAGACATCACAAGAAAACTACAAATCAATATCCATGACAAATATTGATGCAAAAATCTTCAACATAATATCAGCAAACAGAATTCAACAGCTCATTAAAACAATTATATGCCATGACCAAGTGGGATTTATTCACAGAATGCAAGGATGTACTTTGGGAGGCTGAGGTGAGTGGACTGCCTGAGCCCGCGGGTTCGAGACCTGCCTGGGCAACTTGGCGAGACCTCATCTCTACAATAAATCAAAAATTAGCCAGGTGTGGTAGTGTGTGCCTGTAGTTCCAGCTACTTGGAAGGCTGAGGCGGAAGGATCGCCGGAGCCTAGCTGGTCGAGGCTGCGGTGGCCGGGAGCGGCCACTGCACTCCAGTCTGGGTGACAGAATGAG